TTCTGCTTCTGCTTCTGCTTCTGATTCTGCTTCTGCTTCTGCTTCTGCTTCTACTTCTGCTACCACCACCTATTGCGATGATTATGCCATGGTTCGACATAGACCACGACGAAGGCGCTGTCCTTGGCCTCGCTGCTGCAGGTCCCGAGGGGGGGACTCTTGTAAGGGGGGTTAGGGTTTAGGGTTTAGGGGTTTGTGGGTAGGGGTTTAGGGTTTAGAGGTTTTGGTTTCTTGTGTCAGTGACCTTTGTATGTTCCAGACGATTTGCGCTCCTGCTTTGGGTCTTGGGTGCTCGCCACCACTGGAGTTGGGCGGCAGGTTTACATCAGGAGCACTTGGTATGGCATGGCAGTAGCTGTGCCCAGCCCAAGAAGAATCACAACCAAAGGCTCCTCCAGCTCTGCGGATTGCTCTCGGGGCTGCCCCCCAGGTGCCATGCAAGCCTGTCCGGAATAATAAGGCTCAAGGAGAAGCTAGAGTTTGAAGGTCGAACCGAGGGTTTGTATCAATCAAAGCACACACAAATCCTACTTACCGCCCTTGTTTGTTTATCGAAGGCTCGAGCAAGCTGCCTGTCAGCGTCTTGTCCTATGCCAGGCTCGGATGTCGGTGCTGTCCGAAGCGCCGTTGAACCGCAGCGCCGAGGATCCCCACAGTCCGGAGTAATGCAGGGGCCACTAGCAAAGAACATGTCGCAAACGTATCCGTCACAAGTTCGGAAAAAAGCTACAAGCGTCAGTCGAACCGGTGGCGCCACCTGCATTACCGAGTTTCAGTATTCCTGATCTGCATGGTTGGCGAATCTGGTGCTCCTACCGGCGCTTGCAGACAAAATTGGTCCGTGCTTGTTCGAATGCTTCCATAGGCTGCATTGGCAGTATTAAGCAGACGCACTGCACCACGGCCCCAAACCCCAAGCTTCAGCCTTCGCCGCTGAAGTTTTCAAAGATCTGCTCTGTGACGTAGAACTGGGAGGCACGTGCCATGTGGGAGTTCAGAAACTGGGGGCCGCCAGCGTAGACTAAGCATAGTAGGATTGTTTAGATAAGGACCCCCCCAAAAAAGGGTATCCGCACTAGTGACAGAAGCCCAAGGGAGCCATGGCAAAACCCTGAAGTGCCCTTTGAACCCTTGTCCCCCTAGAAATCTATCGCAGCATCCGCTCGAGGCGGAGATCCCGGAACCTTACTTTAATAAGCCGCATAGTAACTCCAAGCCGTTGGGCTCTAAGCCAGGCTGGATGACACAACATGCTTAAGCCCACAAGATTCAAGAGCCTAAGCCCTCAGGCCGCCCCTAAACCTAAACCCTAAAACCCTCTCAAAACCCTTAAAGGCTTGAGCCCTAAAGCCGCAAAATGCGGAAATGCATGGCAGCCTTAAAGCGAACGCTAGAAAGCCCCAAATTCCCTGAGGCTCCGTGCCTATGCGCACGACACGCAGCACGAGAAGATCATCCGCGCCTGCGCTCGGGGCTCGGGTTGTGGGATGGGTCAAACAATAACAAGAATCGGGGCAATCATGGCAGAAAAATTAAAAGAAACAAAAGTGTTTTGGGACCCAGGGATCAGGTTTGTGCTTCTTGGGCGGTCTTCGAAGGGTTTTCTTGCGGTTAAAGAGGGTTAAGGGGGTTATTAGGGGTTTTAGGGTTTGGGGTTTGAAATAGGCTCGCCTGTGGGGCTAAGGGTGTTGGGTTTAAGGTTTAGGTTGTTTGCTACATTGTGAGAGCTGACATCGAGCTGCTGCCAAGATGAGATACCGGTAACCGGTAACCCTTATTGTAGCCCTTGTAGTCACCCATTGCATTATCCCGTAAGGTAATCCTTATTGCAAGCCTTTTAGACAACTTTAGGTACCCTGTAATAACCCTTTGTCACATAGAACCCTAACCCGTGAGTCGAAGTGCTCGAACTGTGATCTCCGAATGAGGCCCTTGCATTGGCTATGATGATGTTCCGGAAGGAGGAGGAAGCAGAACCCTTGATTCAGTGCGGGCCTTGGGCGGGACCAGTTCTGTCCCACGACCACCAGGAAAGAAGTAGAACCAGCACCCAGGCATCCAAGATTTTCGCATCAGCAATAGTTTGGTCACGAGAGGAAGTTGACATCGGACTTAGATTGTGTTGCTTCCTACAGAGTGCAGCTATCCCGTCTTCTCAGGGAGATGCTGCTGGACAAGGATGCGATTTTGCGCTACGGCGGCTGCTTTGCAATCGCTCTGGCTTATGTCGGCACCCTGAGCGTGTGCCGTTTCATGAGCTAGACTTTCTCTGGTTTACCTACATGTGACGGATGTTTATATAGAAAAATATACACAGATATCTGTGTGTCTCTATATATATATATACGTCTGTACATACGTATATATATATATATACACATATATTTATAACACATACACACACACATACATAAAATTATATATATATATATGCAAACACACATTCATTTAATTTGGCCCTTCAAGTCTGAACCCTGTGTCGCAGTTTTCGTATTTTGGAGGTCGGCACCTCGCAGAATGCCGCCATCCGGAAGCTGCTCCACATCTCGGCCGGCTGCTTAAACCTTACTGTTCCAATTCACCCCTTCTCAGCATGGGATCAGAGATCTGAAGTCCTCAGCTCAAGCCTCGCAGTGGCCCCTGAATTGACACTGAGCCGCTCTCTCTCTGTGTGCGTGTGCTGAGCTGCTTGCAGTGGTTATGTTGGTTTTCATGTCAGGCCGATACACTCAAGTTAAGTTATACCACATGGCCTATGTTTGCATCGTTGTGTTCCTCCGCGACATCATTGCCATCACCGGAACAACTATCAGCGCAATTGTCAAACTTCCTAGTCCTCCTCCTCTCAACCTCCTAAGCATCATCACCGCCACATCATCTTCACATCAACGACAAATTTTCATCATCGTATAATAGCAGCAATAGTATTTCAATAGTAATACTCATTGTAATGATAATCGCAGTAATAGTAGCAACTAGCAGCATTGATGGTAATAACCATGGTAGTAAGAATGGAAAGAAATAGTACTAGTAATAGTCATGCAATATATACAGTAATTCTTGCTTATCTTGCAGTCTTGGTCAATCTTGGTCGGCTGCTGGCATTCTTGCAATCTTGTTCATCTCGGTCATCTTGCCCCACCTGCCCCACTGGCTCGCCGACTAGTTTACCTTTTAGACAAACACTGCAAGATTGGTGGCAATCTTGTGCCGAAAAGTGGGGAGATTGCTTGGCAATCTTGCTCAAAAACAGTTTTAGATTCCGGGCACGCTGATTAGTAATAGTAACAATAATTCATGGTCGGAAGCATGCGGCACTGCTCGAGGTGTCAGATGTTTCGGATGACGTGCGCAGAGCCGCCGTGATGGCGTCGCTTCCTCAGAACCCCATGTGGGTGTTGAAGATCCTTTAAGTCAGACTTGTCGCTTGGAAGTTGTGAAGGGTTTCGAGTCTGTATCTAGACTGTCAGGATTTGGGGTGATTTCAGCTGATGGCTACAAGATCACGTCATGGCTTGTACATACTCGAAACAGCAGCGCGGAGGCCCTCAGCCCTACCTAAACCCCAAATCCTAAACCCTGAACTGTGACAGGCTCGGCTTTGTGATGTGCAACGTGCCAGAGCAGCTGCCGGGAGTGGTGAAACTCTTGGCCGAGAGCAAGCGCCCCAGCTCTCCGTTGCCGGCCTAGCAACAATAATGTGAGAATCTTCGGATTCAATAGGGCAAGCCAAGCAGCCAGAAAGACCATGCCACGAAGCGCACACAGTTTCTTTTACACGCACGACCTGTGATCTGTTCTGCCTCTAAGGCCAGCCCATTCGGCCAGATACATCGCATGACTTCAGTCTTTACTTGTCACGTGCTTCGGAGTTCAGCTGTCCCCTTGAGACAACATCAAAGCAAGTACAGGCATGCACACTCGGCGACATCTGCACATCCACAGAATGGCAATCGTAGTAGTCATGGTAATAATAACGGTAACAATAATGGTAATGCTGGTAATCATAGTAATAACCATGGTAATAATAATCGTAATAGTAATAATCACAATAACAAAAACAGTAGTGCTACTAATAGTAATACAAATCGAAATAGTGTCCATCGCGAGATCTTTCAAGGGTCACTGGCCCAAGCGTGTTAATTAGAGCCTGCGCCACGTCCCGTAGCATCTCCCAATGTTGCAGAGGGTGTCCCTCGTGGACACTGTTGAACAATGCCGCGCCGTGACCCGCCAACTGCTCTTACAAACAGAGCTGGCAGTGGACGTGGAAGGCATCGATTTGTGTCGAACAGGCCCGGTGGCTTTGATCCAAGTCTGCACACCCAAAGGGGAAGTCTTTCTCTTCGACATCACCGCGCTTGGGCGTGATGCTTTCAGTTTGGGACAGTTGAGCCTCGTACTGGAGTCCGAGCGCATCTGCAAGGTGATCTACGATGGTCGCGCAGATGCTGACGCTCTCTGTCATCAGTTTGGCGTGCAGCTCCGCCACGCCTTTGACCTGCAGGTTCAGCATGCCTTGCGCTACAGCACCACGAATGACAGGTATGTGAAGGGTCTGCAAAGGTGCCTTGATGACTCTGGCGTTGTGCCACACTTTGAGAGGGCCCGAATCGAGCGCATCAAAGAGGTTGGGAAGCGCCTGTTTGTGCCCGAGCTTGGAGGCCGGTCCAGCATCTGGATAGAGCGCCCTCTGCGGCAAGCCTTGGTGGACTACGCAGCATGCGATGTCAAGTACCTCCTGCGAGTTAAGGCCTTGTGGGCAGGCGCCACATCGCAAGCTGTCTTAAGGGTGACCCGTGAACGGCTGCGAGGTGCCATGACTGCACAGGTTCCGGCCAAGGGCTCGCACATGAGTGTGCGCGACTTCTCCTTGGGCCCCCATGCGCAGTACCTGGGCAGGGAAGCCGTGGCCCAGCCGCGATGCTTCAAGTGTGACAGCACGGGGCACCTGGCCAGGTCTTGCCCCCTTGACGATGATGTCTTCGATCTTGGCTACGGGAGTGACCGCGTCTACTACGATTCTCCACAGCACTACTCTGACTACTCTCCACCACTGACGTTTCGGGACATAGCTCCTGATGGCTACATTGACTCCTCCGGCAACGAGTGGTGAGTGAGTCGCTAGAGCAAGATGATTGGAGTGTTCCGGGATGGTTCCACGTTCTTTTCGGGCTATGGAGGTGAGCCAGAACAGCAGCCACAGCGGCACGGGCTCCCACCAAGCCGCAAGCCCCTCTTTGCATGACTTTCGGACACGCAATGTGCAAGTGTACAGCGTCTGACGGGCTTCTCGTTCACTTCACTACAGGAGCGGGTGCGAGGACATGCATAGAGCGTAACTGGAAACATGATGGCTTCAACATGCAGCTTGTACGCCGTAAGTGTACAGTGTATACACAAACATACACCGCACGTCTCCTGGTCTTCGGCAGTCAAACTCGGGTCTCCTCTTAAGCCCAAGCCCTGTAGGTTTTCAGCCCTCCAGCCGGGATCCTCTACGGAAGCAAGGGATCTGGAGCCTGACGCAGCCCTGACCTATCCACCTGCCGAAGCCTGATTAACTACGAGTAACTAGTATCAGTCATTATTCCTTAGGATTCCCTATGATAGCTCCCAAACCCCCTATTCTAATTATCAACGCCCGTATGCAGGAGAGCCTAAACTCTAAGCCCCACACCCTAAACCCTAAACCCCAAACCCTAAACCCTAAACCCTAAACCTTAAACCCGAAACCCGAAACCCTCCCTGCTCCCCTCAAGGCTACAACCCTCACGTGCGCTACGCTGCGGCCATGGCATTGGGGATCGCCTGCGCGGGCACCGCGTTGCTCGAGGACAGCTAGAGCTGACAGGGTTTTGGCTCACGGGGTTTTTAAGGTTTCAGGTAGGTGTAGGGTTTAAGTTTGAAGATTTAAGGTTTCAGGTAGGTGTAGGGTTTAAGTTTGAAGATTTAAGGTTTCAGGTAGGTGTAGGGTTTTAGTTTGAAGATTGAATAGTTAGGGTTTGAGGTTTCGGCTTGAGCTTTAGGGTTGAGAATGCTGAACCCTTTCTTTGCGGTTAGGCCTGAAGGCTCAGTTTTTCAGGGGAGTTTTTTGTTTGAGGTGTAGTGGTGTGGAGTGTTGGCTCGGTGCAGTAGAGGGTTCACGGTTTCGGCATTCTGCGTATCAGCTCTATTGCCAGGAGAGGAAGGACGACCACAGCTCAATTGGGTACATGGAAAGATCGAGACTAAAACATGCATCGGTATCCTATGATATCTGAAATCCGCTTTCCTTGGGCTAGCGAGACGCTGTGGGCTTGGCACCGCGCTGCATTGCGCAAATAATGGTGTGGTGTGTGTGTGTGTGTGTGTGGAATGTTGTGGCATTCGCAGACCCTCATGGCCAAGCCAAGTTGTCAGCACTCTCCCACGGAGTCTTACCGAGCGAGTGGCAGGCGCACAACCTTTTGCAGCCGCTGATGTCTGATCCTTCGGATTTCGTGAGGCCAGGTGGGCCATGCTCTCTAAGACTACAGCAACGACTACCATCACGACGGCGACTGTTGTAGTATTAGTGCTGCAGCAACTTGCTTTGCCAGAATAAGTGCCCTCATGATTTGGCCCTGGGCTATGCAGCAAACATCCTTCACACGCAGGCAGCATTATATAATATAGGGGCCAAGAATAATTACCAATACTATTTTGGGGTCTCCTTATTTTAGCTATTCTGGGGTCTCCTTATTTTAGCTATGTTGCGGTCTCTCCTGATTTTAGCGAAAGACTAATATATGCTCACAACATCCACAGCGGTCAAACACGGCCAGGCCTCCCACTGCACCCTGTACCCGCCGCCACCATCACCACGACGAACGTGCTGCTACAACAACTACTACTACTACGACGACGACGACTACTACTACTGCTGCTACTACTACTACTACTACTACTACTACTTTTACTAGTAGTATTTCTACGAGTAGTACTACTAGTACTACTAGTACTACTAGTACTACTAGTACTACTGGTACTACTGGTACTGGTACTGGTACGCTACTGCTACTGCCACTGCTACTGCTACTGGTACTACTGCTGCTGCTGCTGCTACTGCTACTGCGGCTGCCAGTGCTAGTGCTATTGCACTGCTACCGCTACGGCTGTGGCTACTGCCACTGCTACTGCTATGGCCTGCACGATATTTACGGATGATGGTGGTGGTGGTGGTTAATCTTATTCTTATGAGTGTCTTTGCTATTATTCATGTCGTTCTTCTTCTTATAGGATTGTTAGCGCTGCTGCTGCTTCTGTTATTACTGTCGCTGCTGCTACAACTGCTTTGCTCTGTTCCCACAGGCAAGGCGCTATCATCGTTGGGGGCTCAGTTGAGGGAGCGTGGAGGCACCGACTGCTGTTGTTGCGTTCTGAGGCCATGGGCCTTCTTTACATGCAGACATCCCCGGGAAAGACCGAGCGCGTCAAGGAGCTACGTGTCTTCAATGAGGATTCATTTCGTTAGATCAGTGAGCTGGGTGGGTTCAGTTCTTCTTCACTCATTGGGTATAGATTTGTGTATGTCGAGCATCTCTCATGCGCTACCGGCATTGCAGCAGCTTGCTATGGTGTAGTTTGATTACATCTAATGGCATGTAACAAACACTCTAAACTGCAAGCCATCTGCTATGAAGTTTGCTGTACTGTTGGCACCGTTTGGTGATGGACGACAGGAGTTCCGCGAGAAACTGCAGAAGGTCATCGGCGACAAGCACGAGGATGTGCCGGAGCTCGGAGTGCTATCCAGCGCCCAAGAGTCTATTTCCGGGCTGGGGACAATTTTCATGACGGTGATTGCGTAAGCCACCTTCATATGTACATCTGGACTAGAGCTCTGGGGCTAGAGCTGTTGCGGAAGTCCCGGCGCGTGCCAAGGTCATGACCCGCTTCGGGGCGATTCTGGCCCATGGCATCATGGACGTCCCGGACTGAGACTGCCACATGGTGGTTTACAAAAATAGGGGACCCTAATGTAGTACCCAAAATAATCGGTTCCTGATAGGTTCCTTATTATAAGGACCCAAAAGAAGGTACCCTAATTTTTCGGAAAGTCCCAAATTTCCTGAATCTCCGAAATGTGCGGGACGAAGACTCCTTTCCCAAAGCCTCAGGCCAAGAGCCACCGAACACCAAATCATAATGTTGGGGGCCTAAATAGTTACCTATACTATTTTGGGGATTCCTTTTGTTTAAATATAATATAATGGGCTCCAAAACCCTATTCTAATTATTAAGGCCCCTCTATTACCAAATCGTAAACCCAAGCCGCCGGTGAGACGCGAAGAGCCTGCATCTCAATAGGCTCAAGGTGAAGCCGACTTTTGGCTTATGCGCAACTTCTTCCGAAACTCCTCACGATCGGTGGGCCCAATCCTATCGACTGGCCATTTGTGGAGTTTTGGGGTTTAGGCCGGCAACACCCCTCCTGCGTTTTAGGTCTCGAGTCCCGCAGTTGAGAAGCCTACTGATCCGGGTTCCGAACCCCAATGCTAAAGCCTTGTCCCGACACCCTGAACTCCAAACCCTAAACCCTTGTCTCTCGACCCTAAACCCTAAATCAAGTCAGACCACTTTAATCCCGCTTGATGCCGATACTCTTCTGGCAATTGCTTCGACATGCTTTTTGTCGCGAATAGAACAGCTCTCCAACCCCAGGGGCCAGTCCCCCGATGCCAGGAATACCCAGGACATGTTAGCCCTCGGGTTGGAATTGCGAGAGTTCGTGCATCGCTGGCATTGCTAATGAATTCGACCCCTTTGTGACATCCCTGCACTTGCAAGTCGGAGCCACCTGGGCCTCATCCCAAGCCCAACTTAGGCATCTGGCTCGTCAAGCCGCCCCCCCCGCCCCCCCCCGCTGCCTAAGCCAAAAACTGACACCTAACTTTCACCCCTAGACCCCGAACCCTAACCCCTAACCCCTACACCCTGAACCCTAAACCCTACACCCTAAGCCCTAACCTCTACATCCTACACCCTAAACCCTAAACCCTCAAGGCTGAATGAACCTTTAATTCAAAAAGGAAAGCCTTGCGCCTGGACCCGAAATTCAAGGCAAAGGCCGTCTGACACTGCCGAAAATCCAAAGCGAAAGCCCGAGCCCTAAACCCCCAAAGCCCGACAATCCAAAGTAAAAGCCTGAACCCTGAACCCTAAATCACAAAGCCTCAACGCTGAACCCTGCACCCTAAATTTAACATTGTCGAGGCCGGTGGCCGCAACTCCTGCGCCTCCCTCTTTTCGAAGTCGGGGGTGAGGGCCCCGGACAGCCGTGGGGTTGAGGGTTGGGTTCTCCTCTATCGACAGCATCAATGACAGTAGCACGACGAATAGTGTTGGCAAGCACCGTAAGTCATAAGGGTATATTTATAGTATTTAGAGTAGTAGTAAAACCGTAACGACAGTAAGAAGAATGGTGCTGATGATGATCATGCTAGTGATAGAAGAAGTAGTTGCACGACTCCACAATTCGCAAAACCTCTTCTTCTGCAGGTCCTGCGCCGCGGCGCGGCAATCGGATTCTGCCTCTTCACTCAAATGTGGTACTGGCCGGGACCTCGTCCTTTTGAACCTCCAAGCTCTTGCAAAGTCAGCTTCGCATGATGCAAGAGCGGAATGGCTCGATTTGTCGCTTTTTTCGGGCCGATGAAGTACTGCAGATATTCTGCACTCCGGGTCCCAAACCTTCACAACCGCTTCACGCATTGTTTGGATGCTATGGCTCCCCGAGCTTTGTGGCTATGATGCTACCGCAACGTGCACTTCTCCCTCTAGATGACGGTCTCGGTCAACACGATAGAACTCTCCATCTATCCTCGCACCCGAAGCTACAGTTCGGTCATCGCAAGCCATAGACGTCACCAAACCAAGGTTTCCTTTGATCCACATGTTCTCGCTGACTCTGACGCCCACTGCCTTGATCGGCGTTGCGCCCAGTGCAAGCGCTTTTCAGCTCGTCTAGGGTCCCAGAAACTTGTGACGTAGGAGTCTGAATAATTTTTGATAGTATCCCCTGAAGCCCAACAGTCCGCCTCCGAAGGCCAAAAGTATCCCGGTCCCCTTGTTGTCCCTTTGATATAAAACTGCTGGCTACATATTCAACTTCTTATTACTTACCATAATGGGAAGCTCTCGGCTCAAAGGCTGTCGGCGTGTTGGGGCTTGCTGGGCTGTTGGTGTTTGCTGTTTT